CAGCTTCATTAAAATCAGACCCACAAATTAATTTTAGCCTTATTTAAAGGGCTGTTTCCATTTCTCATATCTTTAATCTCGCATTTCATATGAGTTACATCATGTAATTTTATCAGGAAAGTCGAATTATCAGTCATTTTTTATTTATGAATTCTTTTATGTTCTCGACGTCTAAAATCTGGAAACGCCTATCTTAAAAAATTTAGTATCTTCTCTTCCTTTTGCGGTTAGGCTGAGTCTCTGCTTTGCAATCGTCCGGATGGAGTATACCTTCTACGCGACAGTGCTCAACCAGGACATGCTTTTTCAGTCAGCTTTCGCCGATTCGAGCGCACCTTACATGCGCGGATAGAACTTGTCTTTGCTGCTTGTCAATATCGCTTCACATTCGATGCCCCTGCCACTGGAGCCTTGCTGATGCAGTCTCTTACAGATTCGTCATCACTACCATCACGAGAGCCCTCTTGCACTGCTCTTCCGGGTGATGTAGAACATTCCTTCAGATTATCAGCCAATCCTTCTGCTTCCCCTCAGTCTAACTTATCGGGCTTGGCGGTCGCAGGAAGTGTCACCGAAAATCCCTTGGTTCGTCAGTCTCATAGTGTTAATGCTCTGGTTGCCGCATACCGAGATCCGGCTAAATGCATGTTTTACGAGCCACTTTGTATGCAGCCTCTTTTTCGTCAGTTTGTCTTTTCTCTGCAGGCTATCTGTCGGGCACATCTGTGTTCTTTTTTCACAGATGCTCCTATACCCCCGTTGCAGAGGCCTCGAGCTACAGAACCAATTTGTCCAGATGCTTCTATTACAGGGCCCAGGTCTCCATTCATCCGCTTGGACTGCCGGTCTCACCCTGGATTAATTGCTTCACACGATAGGACAATTCAAGCTCTACAAGCCATCGAAAAACTGCCTTTGCCATTTCGCCTCATACACTATCTGACTCAGTACTCAACCTCAGCCGATGGCCATGTTGGACCGGCCGAGATGACACCGAATGCCTCAGCATTAGAAGAGGGTTCACAGGCTGCTTCTACTTTGGCCACCTCTCAACTTCCGGAATAGGTGGCATCAAATATTTAGTCTTCTTTTCTCTTCATCTTTATGTGTACACGTGTCACTTTATGTTTGCCTTTTCATACTTTAGTGTTTTTATATTATCTTCATGCTTGGCTGTGTTTGTGTAACAGAACTGGATTTGCTTAGATTTCTTGCCGTCAATTATTTTCTATTTCTTATGTACGAGATTTCTCTCGATATGTATCTTTGAATATAAATTTATGTAAACACTGTCTAGTATAATATTTTATTTTTTCGAAAATGCCGATAATCGCACACTCGTCTCTGGATACTCTACTACTTAAATTGTGGCCATAAGGTCCTAAATAAATATTTTCAAGTCTTACTTTTTATCTGTTCTTCTATCTGATCATCTTTTCTGGGCCATTCATTGCATTGTTGACTTAATTCCTGCGCCAACCTCTTCTATCTTACGCTTATGAACCCAAGCACATGCACTGTTTAATAACTTTAGTTTCTGAAATTACTATTTTTTATGTAGATTACCAAAATTAGTCTTTATTACAGCCTTACTGACTGCGTCTCACCATGACATCTGAATATTCACAGGATATAACCAGATAAGATCATTGGAGCAGTTTTATTCGTCTTATCAGCCTCATTATTTATTCCGTTTCATCATTCTTCCTTTTCTTTGGATGTTACCAGCGACTTTCCATTTGGGCCCTTCTTAACGCCCTTCAGAACTTGGCCAGATGAAGACAAGACTTGATCTGCGCTTTTTCTACTCACTACTTTTCTGTTAGACCTGACATGACACGTTTTTTGTTTTACTTTATCTCTTGCTCTTGCTGCCTTTCATCTCAAGTGCACCATAGTCTTTCCAGCCCATTCACTCTTCCATTCATTCACATGTACGCACAAAAACGCTCTTATGATCATCAAAAGCCACTCGCGCATAATGAAATATCTTTTATTTCTGACTTTAAACTTTCATGCACATGCCGGAGTAGTTATAAGTAAGGAATGCTTATCTGTGTTCTATTAGGATTTTATGTATGCATGCTTTGACTGGACTTCGTCTTCTCCCATGACCACCACAGCTTGCTCTTTTTAATTGGAAGAATTTAATCGAATGCGCTGAGGATTCCTTCTCACATTACATGGGCTTCTTTGTGGTTCTACAATTACCTACTTGTCTGTTTAATCGTT